ATATATATATATATATACATAGAAAGCCCAGAAGATTACAATAGCCTATAAGCCCCACAAGTCGTAGAAGCCCGAAACCTAAAGCCCTAAACGCAAAGCCAATACCTCCACAAACCCCAAAGCCCACAAGTTCCATAAAGCCCCAAGCCAACTCTTTGCCTGCTAGTGCTGCGGAGAAAACCGAGGCAACAGCACGTCCGTGCGGTCGCTTAGTTGTCATCTCTGACTCTTCCGCCGTCATAGGTATGTTCTAGAACATATATCTTGTATGTTCATTATCTTGTTGCAGTGTCTATTTAGAACCTCGGAGACTCCCACCTAAAAGCCTGAAACCACTAGGCCGTCCAACGACCATCTTCCGCCGCCAAACCACGGGCCTACCAGTCCCACACTGCATGTGAAACCCGGGAAGGCAGAAAGGACTGAAGCAGTTCATCAGGATGAGACATCGTAGCGAGGTCAGAGGTCTATGTGAGCCTTTTAAGCACTTAACCCTAAACCCTAAACCCCATCAACAACAAGTCCGAAGACCCGAGAACCGGGAGCGGCTGCCTCAACGAGCGACTCGAAGGCATAGTGGGCCCACGGGTCGCCTTTATCGGCTGCCAGTGTGTCCACCGTGTGCATGCTACTCTCCTGGCCGGATAAGGTAAGGCAGAAGCCGAAACGCTGTTTAATTTCAGAGGGGGGCATCTCAGCATTCGGGTTCAGTTCACGTAATTGCAATTCAGCGTCATGAACTAAAGATCCTAGTTGTTGGGCCTGCAATTGCAAAGCCACTGAGATCCGGGCGGTGTGAGAACTCTCTAAGCTATTTCTTTCTCGTGCTCTGTGAGGTGATTGCCAGATACTTGCATGTCCCTCCCCCGGTCAGCTGGCTCTGAAAAAAAACATCTTGCATCTACGTGCTTGTCGAGTATATGCATGGCAAAACATTGCATTCTATATATATATATATATATCTTCGTACCTACATATACACATGCAAAGCTATTGCGGGTTACTGGGCTTCCGGGCCGGAGAAATGGAGGCGGCCGCGGCGAAGCCCAGAGTGGTAAGAGTTCGCTCGCAGGAATAAGCCCTAGGCGCAGGGCTTCTAGTCACATACAGGGTTTGGGGTTTAGGATAAAGACTACCTATAGTCTCCATTGTAGTTCCTTTTTTGGTTTAACCAGTTCTATAGTAAGGATCCCAAAAGGTAACCCCAAAAAGGAACTACAATGGAGACTATAGGTACCCAAGGAGGCCCAGGGGTGTAGAATTGAGATGGTGTTATGCAGCCTTCCTGTCAGCTGCCTCCCTCGGTGATGGTACGTCGGGACACAGGAACTACAGAGTCCGCTAAGGCATGCTAGCAAGGGGGCCATTGTCACTTTGCCCAAGCTGACGGCCGATATTTTGGGGGGGTATACTATCCTAGACTATATGGACAGGAAGCCAACGGAATGGTGTTGGCAATTCTCCAGGCTTCTACATTGGAGCAAGTGGGGGCTTGAGGCGAAATAGCCAGGCTTCATCTAGTGGATGTGAAGCTTGCGCAATGCAGAAGTCCTCGGTTACACCTGCACCATCGCAACAGCTGCCAACCAAGTGCTCACTCACACACACACACACGCGGATAGATGGAGGGATGGATGTCAGGGGCGGGAGGGCAGGGAGAGGAGGGAGGGGGCGGGAGGGGGGTATGGAGTGAGGTGTGCTTCATCCTTACTACTACCTATGGGTGTCATGGCACTTAGGAGCTGCCGTGATAAGAGTACTGTGCGTACAGAGGTTACCTGAGCCCTCAAGGCCATAGAAGAGGCCTTGAAGCCTTAAACTTTGCAGAAACTGAACTGTCCAAGTGGCAGGGCGGCCTCATCGTATTCGGACATGGGCACAATATTCTGCCCGTACTTGAACCCCTTCCTCAGTCAATGATTGCTTAAAGGTTCACGGGTTAGTCAAAGGTACGGTAGGATGACAAATAACCTCACTTGAGGTTGCAGACTTGGACAACCATTTACCACGCAGCAGAGCGTCCGGAGCATTTTCGGTGTTTCTGGTTATGCACTTTGAATCGGCGACGGAAATGGCTGGCTGACTGAGGGCATATTGCCATGTTGCAAGACTTGTGATAGGTTTAATCAGTGAATGAGTCAAGAGGTGCACAATGGACGCTCACTTGGGCCTCATGGGGCCCCCCTAAATGCCCTTACATATAGTCTCCATTGTAGTTCCTTTTTTGGTTTAACCAAATACATACTAACGAGTTCATACGATATCCCCGAAAAGGAACAACAATGGAGACTATAGGTAGGCCCTAAACCCAGGCTCCGGCTTGTATCGTTCAGGATTCCGGGCCAAGAGGGCCCCCCCGGAGCAGTTGCTTTAGCGAGCTTTTGCGGGTCTTTTTCATCTTCGCTCGGGTTTGTAGGTTTTGGTGTTTTACAGGTTTATCTTCTAACGCAAGTTTGCAAGCTCAGGCTCACCCTGTCTTCCTTCTTGACCTCCTCCCCCTCCTTGTCGTCGGTCCTCAGTGCAAACGAGCCTCAAGTTGAAGCGGTACATGATGGTGTCGTCAAGGCTGAAAGTGTGCGATCGCTCCAATCAAGGCGAAAGCTTTCAGAGCTCGTGCTGAGCCTTTGTAGCCCAAGCCGCGCATAGTAGGTGCGATCCATGATCACTTTGTCTGTTTTCCGGCTGTCTTCTGGGATGGCCTTGGTGAAAAAGCACTGCGGTTCTTCGCAATTAGCATGTTCGTACAACCTTGTTTGGCACTGGCACTTTAGACTACCACGTACTGCTGTTTTGCTCAGTAGCTGTAAAAGGCGCACCAGACACCCTAAAGTCGAAATACACCCCACCTGAACCTAAAGAACCTACCTTTGAAGGGTTCTTTCTTATGATTGCCTTGCATAAGTCCTGAAAAAAGGTAGGTTATGTGGGGTCAAGGTAAACCCTCACCACTAAACACACAAACGATGTGAAGCCTTAGGTGGGTGGATGGACGGGTGGGTGGCTGAGTCGATTGGTGGGTGGCTGGGGGTGTAATGCTCGGACCCATGACTTTACTTGCGGCTTTCCTCAGAAGTGCAGCATTGAAATTCGCGAGCCCTTGAAGCTCAGCGAGCGATTTGGGAGCTCTTATTCGAGCATGCCACATGGTAGCCGCGTAAAGCACGTGACCAAACCAGCTGACACAGATCTGCGTGTCTTACAGATCGAAATCGCTCCAAGTCCCCTGCATTAACAGCGCAAGCTCTTCATGGTATACACCAAACTGTTCCTACTTTCGCGCTGACACCATGCACTCCTTCATCTCGAACCTTTCCTAAACATCCTAAACCCACTTTTATAACATGCCCGAAGCCCTTCATCCCGTCTCATGCCCGTCTCGCAGCAATCCTCAATGGGGGGGGAGCCCAAGCCCAGTTGCGCAAATAGCAGGCTGCTGGCATTCGTAGAGAAGCCCACCCTCTATCTCTATGATCTCTATCTCCATCTCTCTACCTATACATACATACATACATACATACATAAATACATACATACATACATACATACATACATACATACATACATACATACATACATATATGTGTGTAGATAGAAAAACAAACAGAGGTAACCGGTGTCAGGGCACCGCTGCCATCTTCGACTGCTTCTTCAGCTGTGGAAAGGAAACGCCTGGTGTCAAGCTGAAGCTGCCTTAGGGCTTCCCTTAGGGTTTAGGTAGGGTTTAGGGTTTAGGGTTTAGGGGTTTAGGGGTTTAGGGTTTAGGGTTTAGGGATTAGGGTTTAGAGGTTTAGGGTTTTGGGGATTTCCGAAAATAGGGGACCCGAATATAGTACCCTAAATAGTAGGATCCCTATTTTAAGGATCCCAAAATATCCCAAATGAGGTACCTCTTATTTTCGGACACTCCCGTATGACAGTGCACCCTCCAGCTTCATCGTGAAAGTCGCCTAAGCGCAAAACACTAGGCCGTGTACAGCTAAGGCTTTTCGGTTATAGCAGGTTCAGGGTTTCAGGGTTCAGGGTTTTTAGATTTTGCATGAAGGGGTTGAATGGGGTGTATGCGTGTCGATGTGTGTAGGGTGAACGTGGGAAAGTCTCGTGGACAACGACCAGCCGAGAAAGCATAACGAACAGAATTGCACCAACCTTGAAAATATCAAGCTGACAAGACCCGAACTTGAGACAGCGTTTCTCTGACCTTCTGACTTACTGCAGCGTAAAGCATTACATGCTATATTATACATCACTATAATATGCTCTATTCTACTCTACTGTGCTATACTATCGTGCTATATTTACCATGTAGGATAGTATGTTGCAGCCATGCTTGGGAAGTTCCGAAAATAGGTGACCCTAATATAGTACCCAAAAATAATAGGATCCCTATTATAAGGACCCCCAAAATAAGGTGCCCCCAATTTTCGGAAACCCCCATGTTGCAGCCATGCTTGGGGTCTGGAGAGGACGAGGTCGTCGACGCGTCTTGTGGCAGAGACTCCGGCAGACAAGCGGCGCGTGGTCCGAGAGTAGATCCCCACTGGGATCTCCATGTCCTTCTTATGGGCTCCCTTCTAGGGTTTAGGGTTTTTTGCCTCCTGCCTAGCAAGGACGAGCCCGCATTGCAGGGTACTGTGCTGTCTTGGGACTTGCACGTTTAGGGTTTAGGTTTAGGAAACTTATTTGGAAACCCACAGGAAGTAAACAAAGGCTCCATAACAATGGCCAAGTGTCGGGTGAAAGAAGCAAAGGCAACCGCACCTGCATGCACGCATATTCGGAAGGACTCTTGATCTAACCCACACTCCCAAGTGAAGGGCAGTTTCACTTGCATCGGCTCGCACAAAGGCTCTGATACTTCCTTTTTTGCCGCCGCTTCAAAAAGGATCTGACACTCACGACTCCGGGGCAACGGACTTCAGATCGTTGAAATCCCAACGGTTGGCCAGGGTTCGCCTAAGCCAACTTCAATGAATCGACGATACCATCCAAATAAGCCTTGTTGGCCGTCCCCTGAGCAGGGCGAGGGAAAATGCACAGAACGGTTGCCTTGGGATGGCATTGAGGGGTTCGGATTCAAGGAAAGCTCAGACCCAAAGAAACGGGTTTCCATGGCTCTTCCATACCAGGGCCTGATACTCCGGCAGCACGTGCTTCTCCGTTGCACTCAAGTAGGCTGCCACGATCACGCCTTTACTCCTTAGACTGGCTGGGGTTTAGGGCTTTGGGCATGTGACTTTCCCGATCAAACGACCTGAGTCCTCAGGGCACAGTGGTATTTGACTAAACGGACCTTTAAACCGAGATTTCACTAGGCCGTAGCTTCGTTCCGACATCCCTTGGCCTTCTGTCGTGGCTGGCTTCGACAGCAAGCTGCAACGATGTTTGGAGAACCCTTTTGAACGAGGGCTCTCTGAAGTGCCTCTAACAGTATTTCTCCAAACCCTAAACCGTTCAAGGGTCAGGAGGGCCTTGACACGCCAGTATCTGTTCTGCGCCACCACCCCACTCTGTCCCATCGACCGCGCAGCTTCCGCGTTGAGAAACTTTGTCACCACCTGCACGAAAGGTTTAGGGTTTAGGGTTTAGGGGAGCTGAAAGGTGAATTTCCGCCACGCTTTTGACAGGCTGCGCGAAAAGAGAGAGCTGATGCTGGGCCCTCGTCGGTGATGTCCTGGGAGCAGGCTTGAGTGCAGAAGGAGTTGTGGATTTCCAAGAGAAATCATGTCGATGGTCACTCTGCGCGGCTAGTCTCACAAAACCACGGCCATAGAGAGCCTGAGTGCATGTCAACCCAAATAGTAATGCACTGAGCATCTACAGGTAAAGATGAACTATCGCATGCGCTATGCTATATACTAAATCATATATACTATAGACATAGTATATGCTACATAGTATATACTAGATTACTAGAACTATAGTCTTATAACGCAAAGACTTCAAGGATATATGGACTCCTTCAGTTGCCCCAGGCCGCAAAACTTAAACGCCAGGCTCTCTCTGTTGAGACCGGAGTTGCCGCAAACCCCAACATCCGGACTTACCCCAAAATCTCTACTTGGAGGTTCATGGGTAGTCTCAAGTAGGGTTATAGACAGGACAACTATAGCTAGAACCCATATGAAAGGATCTCTGACCCCACTTATAACTACCCTAAACCCTATTCCCTAAATCCATAAACCTCCAGCAGAACCCTCAAATAACTGAGGGCTATGATCTCCATGAAACCCTATATGGGTAGCTCTATAAATTAGGGTTCCTTGTTAGGTCCCCAATATAGTACGGCACTCCTATAAAAGGTCCCCTGCGGCGGGCTTGTGTTTCGAAGGCCCGAAAAAAACCCGAATTTAGAGGACCACCCATATACGCAAAGCCTATAGAACCTCATCCCTGTCCCTCTGGATGGCTAAGTCGCAAGATCCAAGAGAGCGGAGGCCGACTGTAGGCTGCCAACGCTGGCATTAAACAGGGAGCCGCCTGTGATGTACCCATAGGCCCCATAGTAGTTCCTTTTGGGGATTACCTTATAGGATTATATATATGAACCCCAAAAAGGAACTACTTTAGGGCCTATGGGTAGGGACTTGTTTTTGAACTCCTTGGTACACTTCTCCAGGGTTTCGCATGTCGTGTTTGGGGGGCCATCTGTCTGTGATGTAAAGAGGGTTTTGCGGTATTTTTCTGTATTATAGGGCTTATCGGCGTTATGGGCTTAAGGGGCTTTACGACTCCTGGAAGTTATCGGATTATAGGTATCGGGATCTAGGGTGTAAGTTGTTTAAGGTCTTTGGTCTAGGATTGTTTAGAGCTGTCGGCGCGCACACTCGGACAAGCCATGCGAGGTTAGCGGTGCGTAGTCAGTTGAGGTGAGACACATCCAAGACCGCTCGACTAACATCTAGTGCCCACATAGCTCGACTAACATGAAATGAATACATCGGCACTTCGAAGATGTTTGGATTTAGTTGGTGGAAGCCTCGCTACAGGTATAGGGTCATTCAGCACAATACCGGGGTGAGCTAATCAGGCGGTGTGCCGAGGAATTTCATCCCCCCATAAGCGAGACATGCGTGTGTTAGGCCGATCCAATCTTCAGGACGGGGAGGGCTATAGGGTGAAGGGGTTTAAACTGTCACATACGATCAGCCACCTGTGATACGGCGTTGAACTTTAAGTGTTTCAGGTTAAGGGAGGTGGGTTGCTTTGTTCAGGGTTTCCAAGTGTTAAGTAGGGTTTGTAGCTGTTACCTACATACTACTACTAAGTGCTTGGGGTCCAGGGTAGATGCCCGGAGCTGTTAAGAACTCAATAGAAATGCAGACCTGCTTACAAACCAGCCGCAACATGCATATCAAGACAAATGCAGCTTCTGCACGCCAGCCGGTGGTGAAATTCATCAAAGTTCCAAACAAAACGGTTCAGGGGTTGGGTGCTGTTGGTGATCGTGGTGGTGGTGCTGCTGCTACGGAGGCGGCAGCTGGGTATGGCTGTGGTCATCGTCGTCACTGCTATCGAAAGTAGTTAATTGCCGCTCTTTCTTCATTGTTCCTTGTAGCTCTTACACCCCACTTGACAATGCGGGAAGAGAAGGTGCTTGCAAACATCCCGGATTGCCTGGTCATAATATGCCTTTCGTGAAGCGAGAGGATCTGTATCAGAGTGTCTTGTACTAGCTTAAGCTGGCCTGCAATGGCCTGCTCCATGGACTCCGCGCTCTGGAATGTCTGCGTGTTGGGCGTCAAGAAAGGCCTCAGCTGTCCCGTCCCCCAAATGCACGGTTTAGGGTTTAGGNNTTCGACTCACACACTCGCAAAAGCAGGCATGGCAATAAGTGAGGGGAAAGCTTAAAAGGCTGTTTCTGGACTGATCATCGCAATCCTAAGTATGCTAATCATGACAATTGAACTCACAGATATTTCGCTGAAAACTTACCTGACCGGCTCTCCTTTAAGGAACTGCCCAGTGTGGTGCTGGGACTTTCTGGGCTATGGCGGGAGCACACTTCATGAAGTTCGCGAGCGCCAACGTATTGTGCAGCTTACAATAGGGTTTAGGGTTTAGGGCATGCCCGAACAACGCGCCTCGCGGTAACACTAACCGCATCCTCTGGCCCGCAACATGAGAAGCCCAAAATGTTCCTACAATGCCTTAGGAATCTATGTCATAGGTGCTGACAGAACTTTCTTAATCTGGCGATTCAAGGTACCTCCATAGGAACCGAACCATCAAATCCGGCTGTGGGACGTAGAGCATACTGTTGGGTAGGAGCTTTGGGGGTAGATTCGGGTGTAGGCTTTGAGTTTCGGGTTACACATAGGCCCTAGAGTAGCTCCTTTTTGGGGTTCATATTTAGAATCCCAAAAGGTAATCCCCAAAAGGAACTACCATAGGGCCTATGGGGGTATGCATTAAGTTGGGCAAACAGCTCCAGATATCCGGGTGGCCCTGTGCTGCCGAGATGCTGGATCAGCTCCAGAGCAACCTGCTCCTTCGTCTGCGGAGGCTGCGTTACCTCCGTCTGGCAGCCGAGCTAAACCCTAAACCCTTTTCACAAGGGACTCGGCTGCTGCCCTTACTGCCCAGCTTGACCCACAAGACAGTACTCATGACTCAGATGCGAGACCCTAAACCCCTAAACCGTTTTTTTCCCTAAACCCTAAACCCTAAACCCTAAACCCCTAAATCGTTTAGGGTTTAGGGTTTAGCTTTTCTAGGCTGAAAGGGTCTAGGCCGGCTATACGAACTCATAACTCGGACTTACCAGAGTAAACAGATTAATTATAGGGTTTATGGTGCTTAACAAGAAAAAGGGGTGTCCCAAATTCGTTTTGGCTTGGTTTCATGGCTTCGGCTTCCCCGCTTTGGACTCTGATGTAAATTTACATGGCAATAGTATTCTACGAGTCCTGCATATCATTTAATACCATTAAAAATACTATTAAACTAGTAGTTTAAGAGTGCTTTTTGGATCCTTAACAGCCCGTTATAAACGGGCACTCCTGGATTGAAAAACCATGTCTTGTGGTTGATACTACAGTATAGCACTTAGTCACAGTCCCCGCAAGCCCTCGTAAATCTTACCCAAAACGTGATAAACCACCCTACTACAAGTGGCACTATACCTTTTTCAACCCTAAACCTTAATACCCCTGAAACCCTGAAACCCGACTGTACACAAGACTCAACCCTATGGCTCGCAGGCTCCAATCAAGCCCTACAGAAACGAAGCGGGAAGCAATTTTAGGGTTTAGGGACTGCACTTAGAGGGTTTAGGGTCTGGGGTTTAGATTAGAGGGTGTAGAGTTCACGATTTAGGGTTCAGGGCAGTTTAGGGTTTAAGGTTTAGGGTTTAAGGTGTCGGAAAAATCCTACAGTAACAAGATAGAAGCCTCCGACCAGGAGCTGGTCTGCAGATTTTGGACTGAGCCGGAGAAGCGATCAAGAAGCCTCAGAAATTAGGGATTCAAGGTTTGGGGGAAGATAATTTATATATATATATACACGAATATAATGAACGAACCAAATTATGTACGTATGTATGTATGTATGTATGTATGTATGTATGTATGGTGCATGTATGTATGTATGTACTATGTTTGTATGAGCGCAAGCATGAATGAAGGCATGCATGTATGTATGTGAGTAAGTATGTATGCGTGTATGGGTGTATGCATGCATGCATACATGTATATGTACATACGTACATACATACAGACATGTCTATTGAGTTGCGAAAAACAGAAGGGTATTTTCGCCCT